GAGAGAGAGAGAGAGAGAGAGAGAGAGAGAGAGAGAGAGAGAGAGAGAGAGAGAGAGAGAGAGAGAGAGTTTTCCATTGATAGGATGAGCAACACACCGGTGAACTGGTAATCCTCCAACCCCGCGGCTGGCCTCACACTGCTGCCTGGCTATGGAGGATGACCGACGAAGGACTTCGGTGAAGATGGCCGAGGCGTGAAGACGGCCAAGGGTCTTCGACTCTTCGATGATGACGGCGGCGCGAGGACGAGGTGGAGGACACGAGTGAAGTGTCAGGCGGCCTGGGTGAGAGATCACCTCACCCAGCGTTCGAATCCGACCGTTGGGAAAACAATTCCGGGCCTTGGCGCAGCCCCAAAAAAACTTGCGCGGGCCCGGTTTCATTTTTACGACAACCCCCCCTCTCACTTGCACCCCGGCCCCCCAATTATTTTATCTTTTTCGTCAACCCTTGATTTAGGCCATGCGGCGCACGTCGTGCTCGCGCTGCGCTATGCGGCGCACGTGCGCAATTGCCGCGCACGACATGCGCCGCAAGTATGATCCAGAGTCAAGCTCTTCATGTAGAGAGAGAGAGAAGAGAGAGAGGGAGAGGACACATGCATGAAGGGACAGAGAGAAGAGTGGGACAGAGAGAGGAGAGAGTCACCTACCTTGGATGAGGAAGCTGGATATTGATTGCTGAGCTCTGCATGTTTGGACAAGTACCGTCTTGCCTATAAAACAGACCCTGGCCCTGCTAGATGAGAGAGCATAAGTTTTAGGCGTACTAATTCTGGCCCAAAAGGACCGCTCGTGTACAGTGTTGTGCGCCCCTTGACCTACTTGTGCTCCCATTTTCTCAGCTGGTCTTGCTTTTAGGCCGCCATGGCAGGTAAAGGGGGCTCACTTTTGACATTCGGGAGCTGAAGGCCCGCGCACGGACAGTGTTGTGTTCCCCTTGACCTACTTGTGTTCCAAGTTTCTCAGGTGGTTTTGCTTTTAGGCGGCTATGGCAGGTAAAGAGGGCTCACTTTTGACATTCGGGAGCAAAAGGACTGCTACCTGTCGAAGGATGGCATAGACCCCGGTTTCAGGCTTGTCATCCTTTACGAGGGGGGAAACACAGAGGTGACAGCCGAGAGCTATGGGGGATGTGTGGAGGGGACAAGGCAGAGGATGCCCGATCAGCCTGGGCTATCAGGGAGGCCCTAGCCCAGCAAGAGAGACACATTTACAATTTTACAGGGGAAAACGCTAGCCAGGATAAGCAAGTGGATCGTTCATGAAGAAGCGGCTGACTCCTCTGTCTCAGGAGAGTGGTAGAAGCCCCCTGGCCCCAGTCGAGGAAAGTGAGGGGAACGAGGTAAGAATGAGGATCTGATGCAGAGAGACAAGAAAGGAGAGATGGTTAGTAGAAGGCGTGTGAGAGGTTGAAAGGGCATTCTATGTCAGAGGGGAAAGGGCATTCTATGTCGATCAAGACGGTCAAGGCGTTGGCGCAGCGCAGGTGATTCGAGCAAAACACGTGTGCGTTTAAGCGGGGACTGACTGGCGTAGATGAGGTGAGAAGTTTAGCTTTGAAGGAGAAGCCTGTACCATCGGCGCAATCTAGTCTCACAATTTCTTTCAGTCAGTCTGCCACAGCAGGTAAGAGAAAAAGGGGACAGATTACTCCAGTGTATCAAGACCCCTGCAAGAGACTCCTTAGTCTTGACTTACGAAATATGGGAGCCAGACGACCAAATCAGAACTCAAGTGTGGCTGAAAGGGTATGATGTGGAGGATTAGCTCAAAGGTGAGAGGAGCATTCTTGAAGGCTGTGTATTGGCTGACGGAGGTGACACTGAAAAATGTCACAGATCACTCCTTGGTCTGTTATATGATATTGCTGTACACTGTCAGCTGAGGAAAAAACATTTATCTTGCCAAACATGTGCTAGTTAGAGCACAGCATGGTCATCTCATTGAAGTCCAAAGGCAAGGTATTTTGTTTGCTGTATCATGAGTTCCCGAGTGCGAGCTATGGGTGGATAGTCAGCGAAACATGGGTCAATGGTACCAATCAGTGAGCTGAGAAGCAGGGGACTGCACCAAAGATGTACCCGTGAGAGATGGGAAGCGGTGCCAGAATTCACCAGTCAAGGAAACAGGTGTGGCTCGTGATATCTAGTATGAGCATGCGTGGTGGTCTGAGATCCTCGTGCCAACTGTGAGAAGCTAACCAGTGACTGCAGCTGTTGGGGCACTGGACATAATCCATGACTGTCACGTCCGTTAAGTGAACATCTGCACCAGGGTCATTGAAGTCCACCAGAGACTCTCAATGATTGCTGAGTACAACTACCGTCTTCACCCGAATAGAAAGCCCGGTAATTATCGCCGTATCTAGGTTGAAAGTTGTGCCAAATACAGCTATAATGACCGGGCGTTATATTCGGGTGAAGACGGTAGACTGCTTCAGGTTCTTATCCCTACTTCTTTCGTGGATAGCACTGATTGCCAGCAGCGCTACTCTTAGCTGGTCTGTGCCACGGAGTGTGTTTGACTCTCAACGGCCCAGGTAATGGAGGAAGATATAATGACCTGTAAGTGCTTCAGGGTTATTCAACGAAGAGTTCCATTTGGTGCACATCATGACCTGACCAATAACGTGCAGAACAGGTGTCACGTTGTCAGTCCGCAAAGCCAGGTCATTGCCCTGTAGGAGCTGCTGAGTTCTAAAGCAAGCCATGAACGAGTTTGCCCTCTTTTGCTTGGCCACCATGTTGGTAAGGAGCCTCTGATCGTTTAAGGACGACTGCAGATTGACGAGCTTTAATTATCCTCTCTTCCGGTTTGATTTTTTTTTACAGCTGTGGTGATGGTGTAACTTCAATTTCTTGACAACGCAACTACTCTGATGTCTCTCCTCTCCATTAAAGCCATAGTTGTGCTTCTCTAGATGAAGTCCATGCCCAGTCGTGTATCCCAGCAGGGGCCTTCTTGATGCAGAGCCAATCAGAAAGATGAAGATTTGGGTCCACAACAATAGCCAGAGGTAAGTCTCCTGGTCAAGTTCCCCCCACCTTCCTCCTTCTTCAACCTCTACTCACCTCCACAGCCCATCGGGAAGGACATCTCCCCTCTGCCTCTATAGCCTAAGGCTTCTCCTACCTCCAACGACTACTATTCGATACTATTCTACAGCCATGGAGATCTTCTTCCACTCTCCCTCTTGGCAGAGCAGCAGCATGACTGCCAGGTGGATGAGCAAACTGCTCATTGCACGGAATGATATACTCTTGGCTTCCTGGCCTCTTGTACCTCTTGCGCGGGCACTACCTGCCTTCCCAGCCTCCCTTGGGTGCACTAGGCCTACCGGATGCTCCCCTCTCTTGGCAGGAACATCAGTGCAGACTGTTATTCACCTATAGGGCCTGGGCTGCAAACTATCTATATTTGGGCTTGGCCATCACTGGAAAGCTACAAAATCCTTCTACGCCTAGCCGGCTTGCTGGAAAATCCGTACGGACACCTAACAACACTGAGAATTCTACTTATGCCCCTGGACGTCCGTCTAACCCCAGTATGTCCCTATGGCCAACTTTTCGCCCTTATATTCATGGACCTACACTTACTTCTACCTTGTCCTAGTCTGAGGCACAGACACACAACACGGCCACCAGAGGTAGCAGATGGACTCCGACTGGGACCCAGAACTCACCAGGCAAGCACACAGCATACATACATCGTCTGCAGGTCAGATACATACTTAGAAAACGCAGCAAACAGCCTCAGAATCGGAATTATCAGCAAGAGATCAAAGCACATCATAGTCTCACCAAAGTGCAGAATTCTCAGCTTGCAATTGTGCAGGTCATTGCAGGACTGAGAGAAACAGGGGTGGAGCAGAGGTTAATTCTTCCTTTTAGTCACTGCCACAGTCTCAGGGTCCCTCGGCCGCAGCAGAGGGCAGTGTTAAGTGGGTAATTCATGTGAGGAACGCTGGGACCAGTTTCCAGTATATGTAAACCTAGGCTAACAGCCAGGACGCCTGGGTCACCTTGTTTTCCCGGGCGGCCCAGCCGTGCAAGGACCACGAAAGGTGCCAGCAAAAGAAGAAAAAAAAAAAATCCGAAGAAAACTATGTTATGCAGAAAAATAAACTTTTTGCCTCAGGGTGACATCGAAATTCGTCACCAAATTTACACTAAATATATTACCGGGTAGATCTGTTTGACGATATAATATATACATAATTATTAATTCATTATAATATTCTTTTTTTTTTTTGGCCCAGCCGGGCAAGTGGTCCCGGGCCACCCTGGTGGCCTAGATGTAAACCTTAAAAGGAAGAAAAAAGAAAACAGTTCATTAGACCACCACTACCTTTCAGGCTGGGAGGCGAAGTCATAAAAGTAACCTGTACTGCATTCTTCAGAATCCGGCGGAGGCTGAGCGCTACCAGACCACAAAAGGCTGGTGGCGCCAGCCAAAAGAAAACGAAAACGCCACGCTGGCGCTTCGGCCCCCAGTTGGCACGCAGTTTGACTCCGCCTTGGCAGAAAGAGGCACAGAGGTAGTGGTGGTTTAAGCAAGAAATTCTAACTAAAGTCTTATATCCAAATATCCGGTCAGGCAACTGATGCCCAGATCTCCTGGCCCAGACACGAGTCCAGATTTCTGGGCCAAGACACACTCACCGCCTAGCCAAAAACATGAAAAAGAGCCCGTGCTCTGAGGATAGACCTTGCAGTGGCAAAAAGGAGAGTATGACCAACCCCATAAAAATATTAGGAAGCCCGTGCTTCAATACGTTATCATTCAAAACCTTGATTACATAAAACATTCTTTCAACCGCCTGGCTGGCTCAGCCACAAACAAGTCTACAGTAAGAATGATCCTGAGAAGGTCACAAAGCGGAGAAAATTCATATTGAGTCAATTTGACAATCCAAACTTCCTCACCCTCACCACCTTCGACTGTCAGCACACATAGCAACCCACCGATGCACCGCATGCTTGCTCTGAAAGCCTGTGAAGAGTACAACATGGCTATATTCATGTACCTACAAAAGCTGGAACGGACACCCAACAGAACCCCAAATAATTTGAACTCCATTGGAAATCTTAGGATGTGGAGTTCACAAAGCCAAATACCTCAAAAGATTCAAAGAGAAAGAGTTTATTACCCTCTGAAGTACTTGCGAAGATAGAGCCATCAGGGCTGAACTGGCCACAATACACCTGCAGACATGGTCACACAAAAGAAACAAAAAAATATGTCAGGCTTACGGAAGCACTGTGGCTGAAGAATATTACAACGCTTGAATAACTGGCTGCCCGGCTACTGCATACTCTCACTTGGCGGCTACATTCCAATTACAAAGATTCTTTTTGACATCCTTCTGCCAGCTGCATACATCCAAATCCCCCCAAGAGAGTGCCAATGTTGAAATCTAGGCCAACCAAATGCACACATTTATGAAACCAAATGGCATTTGACATGCCAAAACCTAGGCACAATCCAAGAAAGAAAACAAAAGAATGGCCTGCCTGTATAGGCACCTCAATCCACACGGTTTTCAGTATGAGCACTTCAGAAGTATGTCATTGGAACGATACGGAGAAGATTACCATGGCCCCTGTGCAAGGATGACACACATGAATTGAGAAAAAAACAAAAAGCACTTGAGAAATATGTGTCTTTCTGGGTGAGGACGCCGCCCGGCCGGTTGGGCCCGGGGGGGCCGCCCGGGTAAACCGGGCGGGCCAATATTACGACGCTTGAACGACTGGCTGCCCGGCTACTGCATACTCTCACTTGGCGGCTACATTCCAATTACAAACATTCTTTTTGACAGCCTTCTGCCAGCTGCATACATCCAAATCCCCCCAAGAGAGTGCCCATGTTGAAATCTAGGGCAACCAAATGCACACATTTATGAAACCAAATGGCATTTGACAAGCCAAAACCTAGGCACAATCCAAGAAGGAAAACAAAAGAATGGCCTGCCTGTATAGGCACCACAATCCACACGGTTTTCAGTATGAGCACTTGAGAAGTATGTCATTGGAACGATACAGAGAAGATAAACATGGCCCCTGCGCAAGGATGACACACATGAATTGAGAAAAAAACAAAAAGAACTTGAGAAATATGTGTCTTTCTGAGTGAGGACGCCGCCTGGCCAGTTGGGCCCGGGGGGGCCGCCCGGCTAAACCGGGCGGGCCGAAAACCGCCCAGAAATATATATATATATATATATATATATATATATATATATATATATATATATATATATATATATATATATATATATATAT